TCAGGCAGCATCAAGGAAAGGCCATGAGGCCATTGCAAGGCTGTTGAAAGAGAATGGGGCAGATGTAAATATGATGGTGTCAGATTATGGCAGTGATGATTCATCGTCAGATGATGTTAAGATAGTTAGGATGCTGAAACCTCTATGAATGTTATGGTGGCAGTATTTTTGTATAAAGAAACATTGGGATGAAGTTTTGTGACTAGAATGGCCATGTATGACATTTCAAGATCTAGTATTGAGGTAAATGTAGCTAGAGAACAATGTAATGTTTGAAAGTAGTTTTATGCGGTTTTCTTGCCATTTTTGTTATAAATGGAGAAGTTTCCATATTTGGACCATATGCACTAGACCCTGAAATTAGCTTTCTTCAATTTCATCACTGTGATACAGGATTGGAAGGGAATGCCCAGAGGCCATAGTCAAACAACAGTATATAGCTAGATTTGGATATCTTACCTAATTAATTGATCTTTTGTCTTGAACCACCATCTTGTCAACAGTCTTGCCATCCTCTTGCACTACATGTAGTGCTTTGTATATCTGTACTTCCTACAGTATGCATAATCATGTTGGGCCAGCTGAGTATCTTGTAACTGCTCATTGCTCACTTATGGGTGTTGATCCCAGATCCACCCATTTTTGCCTCCTCCTTCCCTCTTGGCTTCAGCTATGTGAGAAGTTTAGAGTGAACACTTCACAATCACTAACAGTGAGCACAATTGCTATTTTCCCCTGCTTTTCTGGCTATATTTCATGCAGATTCTCTTATGTGTCAGTATATGCTGCACCTTGAGAATAGTATATAACATCAGCAATAGTGAGGTATTTTTCCTTTGTTATCAACATATCTGGTTTGTACTTTGAAGCTATGTACACTCTTATGAGGTGTTGCACATCTTTAACTCACCACTTGATCACACACCTATAAATTTGGTTTTTCTTCATGAAAAGTCATCCAAGCATTCTGAAATTTTGCACAATTATAGAAGGGCATTTATCTCAAATTTTCATGTAGTTTTTGTACTGAATGGTTGTACTTAGATTTGTTGAAGCCAATATCCCAATTTCAGACATTGGTGTATTGTTAGCAGGTAAATGCACACTTGCACAGCCCAAATTCAAACACATCTCAAAGCAAGAAAAAGAGAACAAGAAGAAAAAAAGCCATCAAACTGTAGTGTACTTAATAGTTTGTTAAATGTATGTGGTATTGCAAGGGGGATCCTGCACAGTGGCACAACAAATAAATAAATGGTTAGATTCAAGGGGGCAATGAAGGAACGTGGCTGGGTGGGGTTGTTGGGATTAAAGTGAGGGATGGAGGGGGAGGAAATTTGGAAGCTGGAGTGAGGGAGCTGGAGGTCAAGAACTTTGAACAGGGAATAATGTCCAAATCCGCGTGCCTCTAAATCCTACTATCCCGTCCATGAGGAATGATGAACATGCCAGACACGGGACTCCAACCATCCTCTGGACCCCTCTCATCTCCCCTAATAAGACTTGCAATACTTGCTGTATGCCTATGGCCACCCCTCCCCTGATCCCTCTTGGGCACTATGAACTATCAATAGATCTTGGTTAGTTGACAGAACAACGTCATGCCAAGAAAAAGGACACTCATATCTGTTTCTGCTGTGAGCCAAATAAAGCAAGTGAACCAGGCACAGGCGAGCGATATGTGATATCCACTTCCTCATCATCCAAACTCATCTCGCTCAGTTCAAAATCCACAGTATCCACTGTCCCATTTATCCCTCCTCCTCCTCCTCCCCTATGCAGGTCCTCCAAATTGTACACTTCATACTTTGACCTGCCCCTGAACCAGGACGAAGAAGTGATGTTGGATGGGGGCATGAGTGCTGCGGAGCCCCTAAGGTCGTCTGGGAAAAATAGGTAGAAGGAGGCAGTGGTGAGGCATGCACTGCCTACAACGTTGATGAGATAGTGATGTGATAGATACATCATAGCCCAATACAACACGCCCATGTATGCCTACACATATTTTGTAGTGGCTGGGAAAAAGTGGGATAGGCAGAGAGCTTCAATGGTCACACAGCCTGCATGTAAAGAGGGGAATGTGCTAAATGGGATGGGCACATTTGTGAAAGTGATGGTGTATGCATGGGAGTGAAAGAGGGCATCGATGCAGGCTAAACCACCTGGGGAGCCTTTCATGGAGTAGTTTGTGGGTGTGAGGCCATGGATGAGCTCATACCATGGTGCGCAGCATGGGAGGAGGATCTGAATGATGAAGCCAAGCACCCAACTATGCAGGCCCAGAAGTGGAGGACTTGTTTGGTGCAGAAGAGCCATAGGAAGGCGGCGACAATGAAGGGGATTGCAAAGTGCCCTATGCCGTATGGGAACCAGGTGGAGATGCATGATGTCAGGGAGGGCTGGGTGAAGCCGACATCCTCACCCAAGATGTTCGCATTGTAGAGGACAGATTTGAGTATGGGTAACAAGAGGTCTTTACGCTGCCACTGCTTTTCTGAGCAGACTCCGTCGGACTGAGGGTATGCAGAACAGATATTTTTCTGCTTTGAAATGCAGCAAATTTTCCGGTGAATGTCCGAAGCTTTTCCGAGCATTTTTGGTTGGACTTTTCCGACGGACTTCTGATGGACTAACAGCAAACTAGCACCCAGTCCACTGGAAATGACAAGCAAGTGCCAACGGAATTCCAGTGGACAAATCCAACAGAAGTCCAATGGAATTCCAACAGACTGTTGTTATTATTATTAATATATAACATTAAAAAAATGGAACATTGGGGAATTGAACACTCAACCTTAGGATCTAAAGCATATGTAACCCAATGCTAAACCAGCTGCACCAAGGAGCCTTTGATATAAGTAAGTACTTTGTACTATACATACCTACTGTTTGACCGCTTTCCTAAAACAGTCATCGGCAAACGCCGACGCATCATTTGGCCATCATCAACGATCCCACGTCGCTTGTCCTCAACCACATCCATCCCCAGCAACGACAGCCCACCGACCCACAACGACACGACACACGACGCGGATGGCACAACAACACAACAACACAACAACACAACAACACAACAACAACAACACAACAACAACACAACAACACAACGACGACGATGACACAACGACGACGACACAATGACGTGTGAACGACGTGCGACGTGGACAACACGACAACACAACGACAATGACAACACGATGACATGTCGACAACGCCCGCCGACGAGACAACAACGAGGTGACAACAACGCCCAAGGAGAACGAAAGGCAACAACGATGCGCAACGGCAACAGGACGGACGACGACGACACGACGATGATGACACAACACGCGAGGACGACGACAAAACACGCGACACGAGGACGGCGACACGACACGATGCGAGGACGGCGACACGACACGACGCAAGGACAGCGACACGACATGACACGAGGACGGCGCGACGCAACACGAGGACGCCGACACAACACGACGCAATAACACGTCAACGATGCGCGCCAATGACCACACGCGAACGAGGATGAGGGCCCAGCACCACCATCCCCTCCCCCCTCCATTACTCACCATTCCATCCCCTCACCATTACTCACCACTCCCTCCCCCCACCCTTACTCCCCTCCCTTGCTGCTCACCACTCCCTTCCCCCTCCCTTGCTCCCTCCTCCTCCCTTGCTGCTCCCCACTCCCTCCTCCTCCCTTACTCCCTCCTCCTCCCTTACTCCCTCCTCCCTTGCTGCTTACCATTCCCTCCCCCCTCCCTTTCTGTTCCTTCCCCCTCACTTTTTGTCCCTCCCCCCTCCCTTTCTGATCACCACCCCCTCCCCCTTCTCTGTAACATAGAATGTAGTAAAATAAATTTATGTAGGTATAAAATATACTTTGTTTTTGAAACCTCAATGTCTTAAGGAATTTAGCATAAGGTCTGACCAGGGCCTGACTTGTTTAGATTTACTTATAAGAATTGCAGACTGGACACTGAAAGTCTGTTGGAAGTTGTGCCTTTTTTGCTTAGAAGTCCATTGAAAGTCCATTGGAAGTCCAGTGGAAGTCCAGCAGACTGAGAACTTAGCAATTATGATGGTTTCTGCCTCTGTCCGTTGGAAATCTGATGGAAGTCCAGCGGACGTCCAACGGACACAGAATTCCGGCCAGTCCAACCATTTCTTGCTTCTAAGTAGTTTGAGTGGACTTTCACTGGACTTTGCCTGGACTTGCAGCGGAATCCAGTCATGTCCAACGGACTCCGACGGTCTTCCGATGGACTGTCCACTGAGTCCATCGGAAATGGCAGGGTCTGATGAAAGTCCGTCGGAGTCCCATGTCCAACGGACTCCGACGGTCTTCCGACAGACTGTCCACTGAGTCCATTGGAAATGGCAGGGTCCGATGAAAGTCCGTCGGAGTCCATTGGACAAGCAGTGGGAGTGTAAAGTACTGGGTAACAAGGAGATGAAGATGGTGGGGCGCCATGAGGTGGAATGAAGGGAGAAGTGTAAAATGTGATGAGGTAGTCAAAGATGGGTGAGCAGGTATGAAGAAATGGAATGTGGAGGGGATGAGGAGAGTTGAGATGGGTCCAAACAGTGTTTGCACTCTGTAACTTTCTTTTCTCCACAAAACAATGTCTACCGGCACACCAAATGCCTGCATTTCATTGCATAGGTCAGTCTTTCTCACATACCTGTCATCCTATTCTCTAACGATCCACCTTTTACAGATAAGTACAATTATTTCATTCAATTTAAGCCACTGAATGTTAAATTCAATAAATTGCGCCCATCACCGGATTCCAATACTTTACCCTCCCCGGGTTATTCCATATGGACTGCATGGAATGGGAGGTGGATTCCAGGAATGTCAGATGGATTCCATGGAATGTCAGATGGATTCCATACTTCTCCCAGATGGATTCCATACTTTGGCTGATGGAATCCATACTTCTCCCAGATGGATTCCATGGAATGTCAGATGGAGTCCATGCTTTTTCTAGATGGATTCCATACTTTGGCTGATGGAATCCATGCTTTTTCCAGATGGATTCCATGCTTTGGCTGATGGATTCCATGCTTTGGCTGATGGATTCCATGCTTTGGCTGATGGATTCCATGCTTTTTCCAGATGGATTCCATACTTTTCCAGGCTTTTGGTGGGTGGATTCCATGGAATCTCCAGATGGATTCCATATGGAATGAGTTCATGGAATCATAATTTTACACTTATAGTATACCATTTTCAGGGTGGAATCCATATGGAATCCATATGGAATAACTCTATGGAATAAAATTCTTGACTTCATGGAATAAAATTCTTACACTTAAAAATAGTCTGTTGTTGAATTGATTGACATAATACAAAAATATGACCTTTTATCTACTAATCAATTATCATCACTACCAGCATCATCATCACTATCATCACCATCACCATTGTCTCCTTTTTTCATCTTTTCTTCTCTCTTTTTTATCTTCTCAAGAACATATCGGGTATGGTAAAACAACATTGCATGCAAAAACCAATTGAAATTGTCAACAGTCATCCTTTTCAAGATAGAGTCAAATCCCCCAAGCCACCCATTCAATTGTTCACATGCTTGAGTATTAAATGCTCGTTTCAAATATTTTTCCCCGTCTTTGGTCTCTGCTTCAATAACCAAATTAGGTGCTGACCCATCAAGAGGAGCAGGGTTGCAATATTTTCGGCAGATCATATCTGTAGTGCGATGATTGATGTAATGATATGCATCAACCATAAGTCGGCTAGTCTTGCACCATTCATCCCAGCTTCCATTTTGAATGCTTGTTCTAAGAACCAGACATGCCTTATCAATGCATATATAATCAGGTCTTGTACTTTCATCTGGAAATGTATCTTCCATAAACTTTAAGATGTTTGTTGGTGACTCAGATTTTGCAAACTTGACCCATGCAATGACAACACCACAAGGTGCACAAATTGTTTCCACACAATAATAGCGTTGAGGACTGAAATAATTTTTATTTTCTAATTCAGGAGCCTCTTCATCATGGGGTTGAACATTTCTGGGAACTTCTGAATTCCATGCAAGATGTTCATTTGGTCGATTTAGCATTCGTCGTACTCCAGCCAAACTTGACTTTGTTCGAGACTGTCTATAGCGATGCCAGTCATTGCGATGTTCATGACAAGCTTGAGTTCCTTCAACCTTGTTATTTTGACAATCACGAACACAACAACGGTTACGAAATTCTCTTTCATGGATCTGACAAAATGATTCTCCTTTTCCACGAGCATTCAAAAGTGGTTTTGTACAATTATCAAATGCACAGTGAGTTGGTCCCATAACAATGCCATCCATTACAACCATGTTCACCATGGCCGGTTGGTTTGCAATATCGACATCCATTGGGTCATCTGGTCCTGCTAAATTCTGGAGTTCATCAGCAGGAGGTCTTATCAGTGCCCCCCTAATTCCTGCAGGAATCCGGTCATTCCTGCGGATTCCGGTGGATTCCGGAGGAATGAAATTTGGCAGGGAGGCCTGCTATTTTTGTCATTCTGGTGCCTTACCATTCCGGCGGAATTTGGGCATTCCGGAATTGACACCGGAATGTTCCGCAGGACTGACAGGAACGGAATGGAACGGAATCCGGTTCTTTGTTTGTTTATTTTACTTCTGTTACCAAACAACGGCAACGTTACCAAACAAATGCAATACCCTTTCCTTTCCACCCACCACCAACCACATTGACAACAGCGACAACGACGACAACGCCACACGACCAACAACGGCCACGACCACCCCAGCAACAAACGGCGACGACCACGGCCAGCGACGTGGCAACGAAACGGACAACGACAACGACAACGACGTGGCGCCAGCACCATCCACGAGCGCCGACCACCATCCACGAGCACCTCCATCAACCAACGGCGACCAGCGCCCACCACTATCCACGAGCGCCCACCACGCGAACGCCGCGATGCCACGTCACCAACCAAACGAGGCCCCACGGCACCAACGATGGCTCCAACCACGACCACCACACCAGCCAGCCACGAACAACACACCACGCACCCACCAGCACCCTCAAACAACGCCGACCAGCGCCCACTGCCACCCAGGAGTGCCCACCACCACCACGATCAACAAACGGCGAGCAGCACCCCACCAATGACCACGACAACGACAACGACGACACGCGACGACGACAACGCGACGATGACAAAACGACGACGACAACGCGACGACAACAACGCGACGACAACAAAACGACGATGACAACGATGGACGACGAGGCCCAGCACCACCCCCTCCCCCTTTATCAGTCCCCACCACTCTCTCCCCCCTCCTTCAGTCCCCCTCCCACCACTCCCTCCCCAGGGCCTGCCCCACACCATTGCCTGTCCCTCCTCCCTCCCTTCCTCCCCCTTTCTTATGCTGATCACAGCCCCACACCACTCCCTGTCCCTCACTTCCTTCCTTCCTCCCCCCTTCCTCCTCCCTTCCTTCCTCCTCCCTTCCTTCCTCCTCCCTTCCTTCCTCCCCCCTTCCTCCCTCCCCCCTTCCTCCCTCCCTCCATCCCTTCCTTATCCTGATGACAGCCCCACACCACTCCCTGTCCTTCCTTCCTTCCTTCCTCTCCCCCTCCCCCCCTTTCTTCCTGCCCCTTCATTTAACTTAGAAAATAGTAAATTAGATGTATATTTGAATTTTAATATATAAATTTTATAAGAAAGTGTTGATATCCTTTAAGTCAGTGTGAAGAAGTGTATATTAGTGTAAATGTATCTAGCACAAAGAGAAGGTGTTGTATCTGTTGTATTCTGGTCCCATTCCTGTGGATTCCTGAGGAATCCTGAGGAATCCTGAGGACTCCTGAGGAATCCTGTCCCATTCCTGAGGACTCCTGAGGAATCCTGTCCCATTCCTGAGGAATCCTGTCCCATTCCTGAGGAATCCTGTCCCATTCCTGAGGAATCCTGTCCCATTCCTGAGGAATCCTGTCCCATTCCTGAGGATTCCTGAGGATTCCTGTGGATTCCTGTGGATTCCTGCAGGAATGGGTGGGGCACTGTAAAGTACTGGTTGGCATGGGCGACATTGGCGTGGGGGACGTTGGCGTTGACGTTGGTGTTGACATTGGCGTGGGGGACGTTGGCGTGGGCATGGGCGATCGTGTTGTTGGCGGTGTTGGCGGTGTTGGTGTTTCTGGCGTCGCCGTCGCTGTTGCTGGTGTCGCTGCTGCTGGTGTCGCTGCTGCTGAGGTTGGCATTGGCGTCGTCCCCGTTGTTGTGGTTGTCCCCGTTATCGTCGTCGTCGTCCGCGTTATCATCGTCATCATTGTTCCCGTTATCGTTCTCGTCGTCGCCGTTCTTGTTGTCGTCCCCGTTCTTGTTGTCGTCCCCGTTCTCTTCGTTGTTGTTGTCGTCCCCGCTCTTGTTGTTGTTGTTGTTGCTTGCTTCCTCCCCAGGTGAGTTGGAGGCGGCACTGGCGTTGTCGTCGTCGCTGGCACTGCTGCCGTTCATGCTGGCACCACTACCATCCTCGCTGCTCGTTTCGGAGCTGTCGCTATGGGCGTTAACGCCCATGCGTGGCTCCTTTGCGGGGGCAGCATCGTCAGGACGACGCTGCCTGGCGCTAACGATAGCAGGCGGGGGCGGCATGTGGGATGCACTGGCATCCTGGATACGTTCCGGGGGGGTGACGGCCATTCCGCTCTCAACGAGCTTCCGCTCGGCCCTAGCAATGTCAGTAGCGGGGGTCGAAAGAAGGGGGAGGGGCTTACGGGGTTAGTTTGGCGGGAGAGGGCTGCTTGGCATCCTCTGCCGCTTTTTGGGCACTTGTTTTCCTGTAATCGGGCGCCATCGGCGTTATCGATGGTGAGTGATCGACGTGGATGTCGATGTGGATGGGGTACATACCTTGTTTTCTTCCCTTTCTTAGCCTTCCCCCCTCCTTTCTTCCCCACCTTTGTCCCTCTCGTCACCGCGTCGGGCTGTGCTGGCTCGTCGGACTCGGGGTCGGTTTGGTGTTTCTTCTGGCGTTTGCTTGCCTGGTCGCCTGCGTTCGATGGCCCTCGCTTGCGGACAGGCGTGTGAGCGTGTATGTGGCCGCTGCGTGAGGCTTTGTCGTTGGCGCGGGTGCGAGGCGGCATGGTTTCGTTGTCGTCGTAGAGGGCGGTGGTCGTGGTGAGGTGGTGATGGTAGTGGGAAGGAAGTGACGTGTCAATGTTTGAGCCACAGATGTCACGTTTGGAACGTTCTGGGCTGTGGGCAGCGAAGGGGGGTTATATAGTGTTTAAGTTATACCTATAACAAAGCCCTTATAGCTCAGTTGACTTGAGCGTTGCTCTTGCTCTCGTAGTCTCAGGTTCAATCCTTGAAGAATGCAACTTTTTTTCTTTACTATTAATATAGTAAGAAGACTATAAATACTATTGGGATGGTATTCAATACTTTCTAGTACTGTTTATAGTATTCTAATGGTACAATGGTGATGGAATCCACCTGGAATCCACCTGGAATTGTTCCATGGAATCCACCTGGAATGCTCCATGGAGTCATTCCATGGAATCCACCTGGACTGTTCCATGGAGTCCAGGGTGCATATGCTCTCATTCCATATGGAGTCCAGTGGAATCCATCTGGAATGGTGGTGGATTCCACATGGAATGATCAATTCCATGACCATTCCATCATCATTCCAGATGGAATCCATGACGTCTATGGAATAAGAAATCAGCTGAGGCCCCAGCCAATGTTGATTCCATGGAGTCCATATGGAATTATCCATGGATTCCATGGATTCCATATGGATTCCATATGGAATAACCCGGGGAAGGTAAAGACCTCCCGGATTCTGATCCCTGTGGGAAATCACTCAGTTTGGGTGCTTCTAACCTGATAACGACATCTTGCCTCTCACCATGAACACTCCCCATCCTTCCCTGTCATGTCATTGCTGCAACTAACCCCTCTAGGCAACACAACCAACATGGGACCACATCGAGTGTGGATCCCATCCCATTCTCGCCTTCAAGAGGCTACCACCATGCTCATGCACTGTCATTTATGAAGTGCAAAACAAAATGCGCCGGTAATCAAAAACGATGTGCCACAAGCCACGCCTGGGAAGTTGCTGGGAAGTGGGGGGTAGTTGGAGCACAAGAGAAGGCCTGTGCAGCAGGGGAGCTCAAGGTGAGTATGGAAATTCAACGACGCATGCATTCACTGACTTGATTTCTGCATCCCCACACTTCCTCTTGCAACTTAATCTTGAACATGATCTCGAATCCAGTACTTCATCATGCCCCACTGATTCCTGCAGGAATGGAGCCATTCCACTGGAATCCGCAGGAATGGCGAGGTCTTTATTGTCCCCCACAGATTCCTGCAGGATTCTTGAGGATTCCTGAGGATTCTTGCACAATCCCAGGACTGTATATTGGCTGATGTGCCAGCCAATTTTTTCAGTCCTGCGGGGGTACATTCCTGAGGACTGGAGACAGTCCTGAGGATTTTCAGACAGGATTAGTCCCAGGAATGGCCCATGGGCATCAGCCCCCCACCAGGAATGTCGATGGCGCCCACAAAACACCTATACCACCCACAAACGAGCGGCAAACAACGAACCCACCCCCTCTGGCACCCGAAACCCATCAACGATACCAGCCCCCACCCTCCAATGACGACAACAGCAGTCAAAGCGGCAGGGGAGAGGAGAAATGGGAGGAGGGAACAATGTGCCAGGTCACATGGTCACATGCACCTTCCCCTTTTGGTTGTGATCTGGGAGATCACGTTAAATCAGCCCACATAAGTCACTTTATCCGTACCAATTTACAGGGGTACTGTAAATTTTGTAAAATTGCCTTCCACCAGATTCCTCACTTGACATCCCTGGCGGCCCATCATCGATCATCTTTAGCTACCAAGCAACCAACAACTTGCCAAGTGATATATCACTTGTTGCTGCCTGCAAATACTCATCCACCCCTCCTCATTTCCACTGCCAAACACAGGTGCATCAGCCTCGATCACCTCGAAATCGCCTTCTGCTCGTCAGCACTCAGCAGCAAGATTTCGAACAATGCAGGGCTGCCCAAGTATCAAAAAACCCAAACTCCCTACTCGAAAGATGGTATATATCCAGTTCAGAACAGACAACCTCCTGCCAATCCTTAATGCTGTTGAGGTCCACAACTTTGTGGTGGTCGGCTCGTCCTCAAGGTTGCTTCTCATTTTCTGTCTGCACTGTTGCCGAGGGTGTTGTCTGTGGAAAAAAAGTGCCAGTTGATACCAGCTCCCCCATCATGGTTCCAGTTGACACCACTACACTCAGATGCTTCATGAATGTCATCGGAGAAACCATTGGTGAGCATTGCCCTATCAAAATGTCAAACTCAACCCCATTCATGCTGATCCTCCCCTTCTCCATCCAGTTGACGACTGTTGAGGTTTTGTAAACTGGTATCAATCCCATTGATCTCCTCACCCCTTATGCTCGTGATGGAAAGATTGGTCTGTTTGGAGGTGACATGCCAGATTCACCTACGACACAGACAATGACTCATGTTGTGTTTCAGGCATCCTCATGTCCAACTTCCTCTACACAGTTCCCTTCATGGACCACTTGCTTTCTGGCTTCAGTGACACAGCTCCTTGCTTTCACAGTCTACTCTCCCCTTCTTTTGTGGCCATGCCACACACTTCACCGAGCACTCTCTTGTGACTAGCATCAGTTCTGAGCATTTGGCCTGTGGTTACCTCAGCTCAGCTTGCAGCAAAGTTGAGGTATTGAAGACTTCAACTCTGATTGTGGGTTCCGGGACTGCACATTCGGAGATTTTGACAATGGCGTGCATGTGCGCACGACTCAGCAAGACAGCAATCATGGAATTGAGCAGTACATGTCGTTCTGGCATTCTACATACTTTCAGCATGTACAGGGTGAGATGCCATTGAGGTATTTTTTTGTGTTTGTTGGGGTGCATGCATACAGGAGTAGATGTAGCTTATGTATCTCAAAAATCTAACATTGCTCATTTATGAATATCTGGAAGACATTGGGAAGACGTGCCAAGCTTCTGAATCGGTGTGGTGAGGGAAATAGATCTATGATGCACTTCATGAACAGATTTACAGGGAAGGAATGCTTGGCCAAAGGTTTACTCACCATAAATCCAGTTCTGGAGCATGCCAGCTCACTGTAAATCAATCACTAGGGTCCGGCTTGCTGTAATTTCAACCATTCAGCTTCTGGACTGCACCAGCTCACTGTAAATCCCAGTAAATTGAACCTGATTTACTGTAAATTCCAGATGTCTAAGTTCTTATGGCTTCTTACCTAGTGCTTGGAAGTCCAGTCTTGAGACTGAAAAAAGACTCAGACTGAACCGGACCCAGACCGCTCAAGTCCAGTCTTCCGTCTCTCACGATTTTGGAAATTTCAGGACCAACAAAAGACCAGTCTAACTGGTCTCAACCAGTTCTTGTAACCAAACACAAACACAACTCATAACTGAACTGTAACGAAATGCAAACTCCTCCTACCACCACCATCCCCATCACTGTCACCACCCTTTGTGACCACCACCTCACAAAGTGAGTGCCCACCATGGGAAACAACATTTAGGGCCCACACATTGACCGCCACCTCACATGCTGGAGGCTCAGCTACAACACCCACATGGCCACGACACGCCACAGCCTCCACGATGACCCCTGCCGTTGCCTCTCCACATCACCTATGGCCGCCACCCCCCACTACTGGCATCATCTGCACATGAACGAGGACCCACGAGGTTGATGCAACAATGCAGCACGTCCGTGCTGCATCGTCTCACTGCCACGTTGTTGACAGCGACATGGCAACGAGCATTCATCGCTCTGGGTTATTCTGTGGTAAGTCCCCCACCAACCTTTTATCATCTCTCACATCAATCCCAGTGCCACGTTGCCAGACGATGAATGTGACTGTCCACCACCCCCCTCGGCGATCGACAACCACCCACATCCCACCACCACCACTCACCACCAAGATCTGGCGATGACTGTGATCGCCTACCACAACTGACAACTCCCTCCAAGGTGCCACATTGCTGACAGTGACGTGGCAACCAAATAATGAATGACGATATCATTGTTTGTTGTATCATACACAGTACCACCTTCCTCCTAACCCAGCTTGCTAACAATGTCCCCACCCCACCATGACCACTGCACAGCACAACCACAACCAGGCAGCAGGTACGCGATGCACCAGCAACGATGACTACAAACACGGTCCCTGACAGCACGCTTGTCAAACAACAGGGGTATGAGTGTATGTATAGAGGGTGTTTATACATGTAGAATATAAATGTAGTTATTCCATAGTAAACCCCTTGCTCACTACCCTCGAGACCGGTCTGGGACTGGTTAGAAACTGGTCTGAACCTAGTGTTTGCAGGTCTGGTTCAGTCCAGTTTTTTGCCCCGAAAACAGGCAACCGTGGACCGCAACCAGTCTAGGACCGACCCAGATATTGAGGGAGCCGAACCGAACCACCTAGGACCGGTCTTTTGCAGTCCATGGACTGTGTTCAAACTGATTCAGACCGGTCTTTTGCATAAAATTTATTGTACCAATATAAACCATTTGTATCTCAATTACCATTACTCTAAAAAATAAACTGGTTATATATCATACTAAAACATATAAATACCCATTATTCTACCAATTCTTAAGAAATTTAATGAATGCTTGACATAGTTATGACTGAAACCAAATTACATCTCATAAAGACTTGGGCACAATGTAATGTGGCAACTGTAAATTATTTGATGCATACCATATATTGATAGATGGTGAGTATATTTTCATACTTAAAATGTCAATATCCAAAAATTGAATCAAGCAAAATGATGAAAGTTTGAGTGAGTTAGAATTAAAGTCATTCTGGTACAAGTTGCACAAACAAGTATTTGTGCCAAAATGAATTTGGTTATATCTTTCTCAGTTCTTAACCGTTTTTGATGAAACAAAAACCCAATTAAAGGTAATAAACATGGTTACAAGGGTATGTAACGCGCGTGACCGTTTAACCGGTTGCAACCGATTTAAACCGGTCTTTGAACAGTTTTAAAAGATTTTTGAAATGAGGCAACCAGCAACCGGACCAACCCCAAATTGGGGCAACTGCAACCGAAAAAAAGACCGGACCATGGTCTGGTTCAGTCCGGTCCACCGGTTTTTTTCAGTCCTATGGACCGGACCTGTAAACACTATCTGAACCGCAACTGGTTCAGACCAATCTTGAGACTGCAAAAAACTGCCCAAGACCACTGTGAACTGGTTCCCATCGGTTTGGTCCAGTTTTTTGAGGCATTTCAAAATATAGGGACCAGTCTCAGTCTCGGTCTTGCCAAAAAAAGTCAAAAGACCGGACTGGACTGGACTTCCAAGCACTATTCTTACCACAACTTACCCACCTTATTCAATACATGGTTTCTGTTGGTTTCCTGTGTGTTAATTCCCATGTGCACCTGGATTCATAACATGGATAGTTAGGGTCCCCTTCAGACAACAGAAAGCCTTGAAATATATATATATACTATTAATGGCTACAGGGACTACAGTTGTTAGCTCAACCCAATTTGATGAGAAATTGTAGACATGACGTGACATGTTGCTTCTATTTGGTGTGCATGTGGATGTTTTCCCATCAACAAGCACACAACGTTCAATGTATGTTGCAACATTGTCGCCCTCTGAATAGCTGCCTACCCATTGACATGGTGAAATTAACCGCATGGATGACCCAACCAGACGACCCAACACAAAACAAAGAACCAAGTTCCAACATCCATCATTGTGGCTCACTGTTGGATTTTGTTTACTATGGATGTGGCTCATCATTGGTGTCTCACAAACACTCTGACAAGGACAACGATGGGAGTTGCATCACTTTGGAAGGTATTTGCCCACTATCCTTTCTTACAGATGCTTTGACCAACCATTACAGCTTGTTGATGCAGCAGCAAAGCTTTGGTCATTGCTGCAGTTTGCAGTTGCTGAAGGCTTTGACACCAACCGACATGGTACCCACACGATCGTTGTGGGCATCAATGCAAGGTACATTGACTTGCTCCTCTCACCTTCTTCTTTGCTAACATTATTGTTCAAAGTATCTGGCTCAATGAGGCCCAATTCACTCACACCAAAGGCGGTTGCTGGTATCAGTGAGGCATGAAACCCAAGCTGTGCACGCTCTTTGAGAAAATGTGCCGACTGCTCTGCTTACCATTCACCATTGTTCTGGTGTTTTATGGGCCTGGACGACCATCTCGAAAACGAGGTGATGTCTTGACTGCTGAGCACTGGGCCGAGGATCCAACCAAAGAGATAGTGGATGCCTTTGGGTTCAGAACTCACCAGGTGGTTTTGTCTTTTCATATGGTGGAGTGTATAAAAACTAAACAGAAACATGAATGGGCCCTGGGAGAGGTGGAAGCAGAGCTTGCGTATCTCAACAGCATCAGCATTCTGGATGCTGTGATGACAGAAGATGGAGATGCACTTGTGTTTGGTGTGCAGGTGGTAATTCACAAGTAGGTTCTTCTTCATCAACATTGAGCTAAACGATGCTCACACATATTGACAGACCTCACCTCAAGGGAGAAAAAATCAAATGGGATGGTGATACCATCAAGATTTACACATCCACCATGATCTGTTCTACCCCCTCCATATCCCTCACTCAGGGTGACATGGTTTTGTATGCCTTACTCTGTGGGGCGACTATGACAGCGTAAGTGAACCAATGAAGCCGAAATATCTGTTTGACTTTGTTGAACAGGTTGGCCTTAAAGGTTGCGGGAAGGTTACTGCACAAAAACTGATGGGAACTGGGCACAGCGATAGCTTGCTCAATGCCACTCAGTTGCTTTCACAAGATAATCTCATTTCCTTTATTGTTGGGTGGCGGGCTGATCTCCATGCTGAGTTGTTGAAGATTGGGCAGTTGGCTGTTGCTCTCGCAGTTGACACTTTTCCTCAATTAGGTGTTCTCATGAACTACGCCACGCCCCTAACATCAAGCACCCTCGGCAGACCACCCAACGCGAGCCAGTCATGGGTTTGGCGTGTGCCTGACCTGCCACAAATCGCATGGCTCTGCAAGCAATATTTCAGGTGGCATATATCTGACACCATTAGTAAAAAATTCCACACTCGAATTTGGGATGGCATTTGTGTTTGCCGACTGATGGAGGTGGGTTCCATCCCCCCAAACTGACCAAATCAAAGCTTACAATGTTTTCCTAGCCAGTGGATGAGTACAAGGTCCTCCGCCAACACATAGAAGACAGGATAATCCACCAGGAATGTGTTCATTCCTTCAGATCACAAATGTTAGAACTGGACGACTACTTGCCTGTACTTTACCCTCCCCAGCTTAATCCATATGGAATGCATGGAAGGGGGGGTGGATTCCATGGAATGGCTGATGGATTCCATACTTTGGGGGGATGGATTCCATACTTCCAGGGATGGATTTCATACTTCTTTCAGATGGAATCCATTCTTTTTTAAGATGGAATCCATCCTTTTTCCATATGGAATTCAGTTGGAATAAGTTCCCATTCCACACAATACTGGTAAAATTATGTACAAAAATGTATTATATAAGACTACACAATTTTATTTTACTACATACAATATTAAAGGGAGAGGGTGGAGGGAGGGATGTAGATATAGAGTGATGAAGTGAGGGGGAAGTGATGGAGGGAGGTGGGACTGGTGGAGAATGAGGGGGGAGGGAGGGGATGTGGGAGAGGTGTGGTGCAGAGTGAGGGAGGGGGGAGTGATGGGCATGGGGTTTAAGGGAGGGGGTGAGGTAGGGGGAGCTAATGAAGGGGTAAGGGGTTTGATAGAGGGAGCAATGGGGGAAGGGGGATGGTGGAGGGGTGAGCTATGGGGAAGGGGGATGACAAAGGGAGGAAGGAGGAGCTCACCTCGGCTCGCCCTTTCCCGTGTCCGTTCACGCTCGTCTTCATTTGTGGGCATCGTCAACACGCTCGTGCGTGGGCGGTGGATGTTGTTGCGTGGGTGTTTTTGTGGGCGGTGGGTGTTTTCATGTGGGCGGTGGACATTTTGCGTGGGTGGTGGACATTTTTTGTGGGCAGGGGATGTCGTTGGTGGGTGGTGGGTGGGGGACGTCGTTGGTGGTGGCTGTTGTTCATGGGCAGTTGACATCGTTGGTGGTGGGCATTGTTCATGGGCAGTGGACATTGTTTTCGTGGGCAGGGACGTCGTTTGCAGTCGCTGGATGTCCATGGGCGGTCGTTTTCGTGGGTGCTGGTTGTCGTTGGCGTGGGGTCATTGACATTGGCATGGGGTCATTGATGTTGGTGGGCGCTCGTTTTTGTTGGTGGGTGCTTGTGGTGGTGGGCACTCGTTGACGTTGGTGTGGTGTGTTGGTGGGCTGTTCGTGGTGGTGGGTCCTCGTGGCCGAGCAGATACGGCGAACGACGACTGATGTCGTCGTTCACTGTCTGGTTGCCACGTTGCGACGTGGCACCTGTGGTTTGTGTTAAAAAGGAGAGTGGGTGGGGTGATTGTTCCCACTTACCTGGGCTGGGCCCTCGTCACGTGTTGTCAGTGTCAGCGTCATTGTCGTTGTCGATGTCGCGGGCGGTCGTGGTTTGAAACGGTGGTGGTGGATGGTGGTGGTGGTGAGGTCTTTATTGTCCTCCACTGATTCCTGCCAGAATCCGGCGGAATCCGGGCAATTCCTGGAATTCCGGAGGAATCAAATTTGGCAGAGGGCCCTGCCAAATTGATCAAATAATTCCGGGGAATCTAGAACGGAATTCCGATTCCGCTGGAATGGTTCCTGGAATCAGACGGACGGAATGATGTCCGGAATGCATCCGGAACGGAATCCGTTGATGGAACACTGACAACGCCCACACAAATCAAGCGTCGGCGTTTGCTGAGACTATGGAGAATCGGGAAGTATTACTTCTCGAAAGGACATGGATAAGTATTACCGGGATTTTACGGCCTTATCTTCAGAATTGACACCTCTTAAGATGCTCGCTAATGATGTGAATCTTTGTTTTTATAGAGGAATACCGACATCTTTACGCACACGTATAAAGAAACACATTCCAGCTGCCAACCTCAAAACATCTTCGCCTCCCACGACTGAAATGCTACTCGGACTTTTACGAGCGGAATTTGATGAAGAAGACTTGGACGCAAAAACCATTTATGTTGGCGTGGACCTGGATTCGGATTCCGACTTGAGTTCTAGTGATTCGGACGAGGACATCAACAAGGTAGTTCTAACGAAGAAGAAGAAGAAGAAGCCGTCGAAAAAGGTAACATTCGAGAAGACGGTCCCAGCTGCACCTATAGTCGAGCCAGTCAATCTCAGCTCGGTGGATCAGCTTGCAAAACAAATGGAAGAATTGAGACTTGCTCACACTGAGATTTTGCGCTCTGTCAACAAAACTTTTAACGCTAACCAAAACTCTACGCAGACTAGCAGGGAAGCAAGATGTTTCTTCTGCGACTCAACAGGCCACCGACTTGGGCTTCAGTATTGTCCGGAGGTCAAGGTGTGTATCAATGAAGGACTCGTAGCTTACACCCCTGTTGGCAGATTAGCACGCGCAGACGGATCTGAACTCCCTCGGGCCTTCGGAAGCGATGGGGGAGTCGCCAAGGTCTTGCGAGAACAGCACGCCGCTTCGAGCCATTTAAAAGGTAAGGCCCGGGAGGTTTCAAGAGACCTACCTCCCCATATGGCCAATTACGCGGGTCTGCTATTTGACGGTGAAGAAGTTCTTTCTTCGGACGTGTACAATGCGTCGCCCTCCTCGGTTGTACCCGAATGGCGTGCGCCTCCTTCTTCAGCTCTAGCCGTGACTCGATCCCAAAAGGACAAGGAAGCGTGTTTCGATCCAATCAAACGTCCGGAGAGACGA